AAAACAGTGTTTTTATATACTGTAGAAATCATTCGATTTTATAAATAAAGTATAAACTTGAGCATTCTTGTTTACTTCTAGAATAAATAGAGCGGTATATAACTGGTACAGCAGTGTACACTGGCACATAATCTACAAATCTGTAGAAATATCGGCTGTGTTCATGCTCTATGTTTAGTACAATACACTATGTTTTATACACTTTAATAGTTTACTTTAAATCGGACAGAATATTAGAGAGTTCATTTGGTATAAATATATATTAACCCTTTGCCCTCTAAGCCATATTTTAACTGTAAATCTATAGATTAATTTTTCTGACTTATGGTATTTCCATTTTATATGACAAAGTGCATTTTATGCATATGAAGTTGAGTCTTGTGACTCATACAACAGTTAGACTTTTAACAATTTTTTTATATCTAAACTTTGATAATATAAGAATTATTTTCGGAACCTTATGTAACAATTTTAGTAATTCACAGTCACCACTCGGTGCAAAATGTTGAAACATGCATGAGAAACAAATTAGAAATATTAGGGTTTATCGGTATTCGGATCGCAATAACTGGTACAATATCATCGTACGTGATAAATATTATTTTATTTCCTTCTTTAACAATTTTTCAATTACTTCAAATTAGTATTACCGACATTTTCTTTTTCTTCCAATCGTTCCACTATTCCCAGTTTCACCCACCCTTTCTCGCCGCGGATGCATAAAATCTGCACTCTAGTAATTACACAACAGGAAAATCGTCCGATTGAAAAATACAACGTGTGAGATCGTGTGCGCTCAAGCTATACTTTGAAAATTTGTATTGCATAAACTCTAATCGAGAATGTTCTTGTGAAATTTACCGGAATCACTCCAAACGTAATTCCATTCGTTTGTTTTCATTTATCTGCAAATCAATTTATTANATTTTATGCATATGAAGTTGAGTCTTGTGACTCATACAACAGTTAGACTTTTAACAATTTTTTTATATCTAAACTTTGATAATATAAGAATTATTTTCGGAACCTTATGTAACAATTTTAGTAATTCACAGTCACCACTCGGTGCAAAATGTTGAAACATGCATGAGAAACAAATTAGAAATATTAGGGTTTATCGGTATTCGGATCGCAATAACTGGTACAATATCATCGTACGTGATAAATATTATTTTATTTCCTTCTTTAACAATTTTTCAATTACTTCAAATTAGTATTACCGACATTTTCTTTTTCTTCCAATCGTTCCACTATTCCCAGTTTCACCCACCCTTTCTCGCCGCGGATGCATAAAATCTGCACTCTAGTAATTACACAACAGGAAAATCGTCCGATTGAAAAATACAACGTGTGAGATCGTGTGCGCTCAAGCTATACTTTGAAAATTTGTATTGCATAAACTCTAATCGAGAATGTTCTTGTGAAATTTACCGGAATCACTCCAAACGTAATTCCATTCGTTTGTTTTCATTTATCTGCAAATCAATTTATTAATTCGTAGCTTCATTTTTTCGACGATCAGGAGCGTTTGGACAGTTCAACTAACGAGAACGGAATAGGCACGTTTTAGGTACAGCACAGAATTTTTCTACGTCCGGATACCGTCAACGTTCGTAGAATTTCTCTAACAAGGAATCTGATCAGTCGAACGTCGCGTCGTTGGGACGCGAATCTGACGCGACAGGGGGGACAAGTTTGAATCTCCGTGTGTCAGAAATTCGCGACAAACCAGACGCGGTTGGTTTCGAAGCGATCTCGGACGGAAATTCCGTTGGCTGGTTCGTTCGGTCGCCGGTCTGGCGGGAATCGTAACTTCGCGGATGACGTCGGGCCGCGATAGAAGCACAGGCTGCGCCGCGGTACACAACCGAACGACCATAGGGGATAACGGAAGCATAATTTGGCCCAGGTAACGTACAAGTCCGCCAGTAGCTATCTGTCAGATAAAGGCACGCCCGGTTATGTTTAGCCTCGGCATCGGATACCGAACTCTGAATCGTGACCCGCCCCACAATCGGGACCCCTGCGCTCTTTACTCGGGCTACCACCCCCAGAGAGTTCCTGTTATCCGCTCTAACGATAATATTTCAAAGAACGCTTCTTATTCTGAAACAGAGCTTCGGCGAGGCTGTTCGATTTGACGTCGAGAACAAACGCGGGAATTTTCTTTGCAAGTTTCGGAATAGAATCGTGTTTGGTAGCTAAAAAGATCAGAAGATGCAAAATTCTACGCAGCAAATTAAGATAACAGCAATTAATTTTTTTACATTCAGGCATCTCTGTATTTCTATGTTCCGTTTTCCTCTATTGTAACCACTTCGATTTGTTAACATTCGTTACCTTGCTCTTGCTTGGCTTGTTCAAACAGTTTATCCAGTGTTGAATCCACAGCGGGTTTTATGTAATTTATGACAAAAATGAATAGGTCGAATACAAAACTGTGAAGACATTAGACGAAATAAAGGACATTGTTACGTTATATTGAATTTATTATTGTTATTAAAAGAGGAAAGATATTTCGAACTAACTTATATTTCTTCCAATTAACTTGGACAATTTTCACATTGCATAAAGATTGGTTATCACTTTCTATTCTAGTTTTGCAACGCAAACGGTTAAAATATTGAAAATAAAATTAATGAAAATTTCATCGAATATGGTTCCGATTTTGGAACCCATGTTGAGCGACATAATTATTGAAACCTGAACGAATGTTCCATTCTTTGTGTAATTCTTCTGATATAAGAAAAAATTAGATTGCGAAGAATAAAGATTTCCTGAGTCGATTAGGAGTACATGAAATGAAATAAAAGCGTATCTTATTCTTTTTGGGAAGCTTAGTAAGTCAACTTGTCAACTTCTAGGAACGTTGGTCAATAAATTTTGATAAATTTGATAATAATATTTCTCGCAATATTTTTCAAATCTATCGTTACGAATATCGTTGCGAATGCTGCTTCAGAAGTTCCATTAATAATGTCGAATTCGGTTAATTATCCCAGGTTAATATGACCCGTAAAATTAGTTTGCGCTGTAACTTTTACATTGCACGTATTCATCCGTGTTCATTTATCCGATAATACCTAAAAGTTTTTATAGCTCCAAATTGCGTAATCCATAGGAAACGAGTGAGTTTTACCTGTGACCCATTAGCTGTTTGCCATTAAGGGGCATTCTTAGTCACCGATGGTCAGCAAATTATTCCGCGTCACAAGCATTACGATAGCTAACACTAAATCTCTCCATTTTGAGGATTACAACAGTTTCTTGCTAACCGCACAAGCTAGTCAAACAGAATCTAGTCGATAGCATACCGAAACTAAATCAAGAGAATCTCTATTTATATTTGCCTTTGGAATCGAAGAAAGTGACGAAGAAGAAGAGAAGAAGCGACGAGAAATCACGAACGACGAGAGATTCCGATGCGATAATTAGAAGTAATATCCGCGCTCCATTCGAATCGCGTTTATCATAGGACACGATTAAATTATTCGTCGACTGAATCGTGACACGATCGATGTCCGTCCATCTGTGCTCGTTTCCCATGCTTCGCTCATTTAACTCGGGCCCGGCACGCGGTTGTCGAACGAACATTGCAAAATTCGCTCGCAAACGTTGCGCATTGAGTTTGATTAATTCGTGTCTGGTGGCCGGCCTGTCCGATAAGGAATATATATGGTAGATCTGGAAAACGGTTCCCAGTATTTCATAAGACACGTTGTTGCGGTGATAAATGATCTTTCTGATTCGGAACTATCGTTTTCTCTTATCGGGAACACTCGTAGGATCCTTAACGCGAAACCGTTCCGCGGAGAACATTTTTAACGTCCCGTTGCTCCATTCAACAAAGCTGCCCGTAGAATTCACTACATCTATTGGCCATTTGTTAAACTGTTTTGAAATTAATCCGAAAAACCTACGCTAAATAATATTTTACTTACTCTGAACGCTCTCGCGACTTTAAAGCCTGCGTACGAATTATAATAATTTTGATCTCCGCGTGTTCCAAAAATGTGACAATGCTCTATAAGGTTGTTTCTAAATTGGCACACTACTATTGTTACGGTTACGGTTCACCACTAATTCTTCTACATTTTTCTATTCATCTGTCTTTTGTATTCTTTTTCTGTTACCTTTTTCCAACAGCACTATGTATTCGTATGTCTGATAAAAAATCTCTCATCTATTATATTTTCTTGCACAATAAGCATTTACTATTGTAACAGTAGAAGAAATAAAAAGGATGAGATTTTTCATAGTCGTCGGACGAGTAGAATAAAAAAAAATATATAAATATATATAAAAAATATATAAAATATATACAAAATATATAAAATATATGTAAAATATATATAAAATATATAAAATATATGTAAAATATATGAAAAATATATGTATTCGATATTTTTATTGTACTCGTGCGACGGCTATACATATAAAATCTCAGCATTTTGATTTCCTCTTCTGTAACAAAGGGTTTCCTTACTCATATAAATGAAGAAATAAATAAATAAATTTTAAGCTAAAAACGTTTTTCTTATTATCATGTACGCGAGATGCTTTTCAATTTTTCAACATTTCAAAAATTATAATATCTGCGTTCTGCAAAAATTTCTTTTTCATAGAAAATGATTGACTAAATTCGTTAGTCCATGGATACATTATAATGAAAATGGCGAAAGATTTAAATAAATTCAGTTTCATTACTCTTATTAGAGCAAGTCGCATTAGCCATTTTTAATACTCGGTAGGTTTAGTGTTAATAATCTTGTAATCTTTCGACTGTTATGCGTTTCAACTATACATTTTTCTCACGAGTGCATCAAATCCGCAGTCTACAGTGTCATAGTACAAAAGATTGAACGAACCGTTTGCCAGAACTTCTCGGTCGACGCCAGACGAACCTAATCTCCAAGATCGACCAATTAAGCATGCAGCTGTAACATGCATCTCCACTCGTTAAATTCAAGTAACCAGCCACCCAGGACGCCATGATTTACCTGCAGTGAGAACCGATACAGATAATCCGGCGGATACTGTTGCGGGTACAGATAATACGCATGATGCTGATGGGGATGCTGATTGTACTGTTGGTCGTGCTGCGCCTGATATTGCTGCTGATAGTGTTGCTCCAGATGCGCACGATGTTGGGAAAGATGCTGCTCCTGCTGCTGCTGCTGCTGCTGTTCCTGGTGCTGCTGCTCCTGCTGCGGCAACGACGGCGGCTGATGATGCTGCTGATGATGATTATACCAGGCCTGGTTATATCTATCCATATCACAACGAAGTCACGTTCACGGTGCGTGGCCTTAGGCGTATCTCCGGCACCGGGTGAAAAACAGTAGCGCAAGCGGAAACAGCGAACATATCAATCACCTGCCAATAGGGCGGCTTCGACGTTCGATCGTCGTATTGCGATTTCCGTCGCGCGCGGGATCCCGGACATTTCGTCGCGAGCCCACGTGTCTATTGTTCGCCGCTTCCTTTGTCTCGGTTGACGAATGGCTCGGCGATCTATCGAAAGAAGAATATCACCGCGAACAACGGAATTGCGAAACTGAATCGGCGCGACGCCGGTGTCAACACTGGATCTCCGATGATTTAATCGGTTATAGGCACTCGTTGACTCGCCGATTTACCGTCCGGGGATCGAAATTGCGGAGCACGATCTCGCTGACCGCCACGAGGGTGCTGGAAGAGCCGCACTGAAACCGAGTCGTCACGATCTCGCGATTGTCTGCGGGCCTCGAACTTCGCTCTCGTCGGATCGGACGCCTCGCACTTCCGGCGGATCTCGTATTGCACTCTAGGTGATGATTGCGGGCCAACTAACTCGCGTTCAAATTGTCGAAATCGCGGTGAGCCGCCGCTGGTGGTCTTTCCCCACTCTGCTTGACCCCCACGGACTATTATTGCTCGTCCCTCGGCGGATCGTCTTCCTTCCGTTTCTTTTCCGCTCTCAGGAAGCCGACGGGACCGGTCAGCATCCCAGTTTCTCGTTCCTGCTGGGGGTCCTCTTTGGGAAAAAGGTGCCGGCCATCAGGAAGAGAAGGGGTTGCCGAAAACTCGCGACGGAATCGCTCATTGTGTCGGAAACCTGCCGGCGCGATGCGGCGACTCTTCCTGATGGCTGCGGGTTCATTCGTCTCTTATTCTAACCCTCCTCCTCTACTTTCTTCTCCGCAGTCTTATTCTGGCCAGAGCGAACGACCCGTGATTGGCGGTACATGCGACCCCGTGTGACAGATTTTTCACGTTCCACGACGAATTCGTTCCATATGTTGTACACTTCGTTGTTGGCTGACGGTGCCGGTCAGATTTTTCGCGTTCTCCCGATTTTTATTATCGATATATTATTTCGAATCGGGCTTCCTAGACCGGTCGAAACGGCTGGTTTATAAACTCGGTCGGGCATGCATCGTAATGAGAATTAATCGAAGTTTGCGCGAATGTAGCACTCCTATTTTTCTTAACACGTTGAATGCCACGGGGGTCACCAGTGACCGGCACTTAACTTGGCGGTGACGCCATGAGGGTGACCACCGGCGACCGGCGCGCAAAAATTGATAGAAATATATATAATTTAAAACAAATGTCAATATCTAAAATCTTGTATTATTACCATCGTGAATTCAAACAGTGACCCCTGCCGCAATTAACACATTAACCCCTTAATGCACAATTTAAAAAAAAAAACCGACCAAAAAAAATCAATTTTTTTTATCTAAGAAAATACATATTTGGACCTTAATTTCAATAAATATGTAAAAAAAATGCAAAAATTACTAAAAATTCAATAAAATTAGTGGATAAATAATTATAGTGAATATTGAATCGCATTGCAGATCGAATTTTGTACCCATCGTACTGTTTTTCAATTAATATAGGTAACATAACATAAGTTGCGACGCCGACCATATATATACGGGTCTGCACATTTTGGCCGGTTTTGCACGCCCGTGTTAATACGTTTCTGCGCGTTAAGGGGTTAAAGGCGGGAGTCGTAGTACTACGATTTATCTCGACTTCTCATAAATATGTACTTTAAAACATTTTTTGTAATTAGTGTTTAGTTCTTTTAGTTTTGAGAGTTTAAATAAACTTTTTCAAGTCGAAATTTTTTTATGATTACACAAAATATCGCCCGCTCTAGGACAAAAAACGAGGCGGGGCGGTCGCCGCGTTACCTAGCATACTTTCGTCAAGATCCCCCGCCTTTAATGTGTTAACATGTCAAACATGGTTGTACACTGTAACTTATCTATTGCAGATAATATTTCAACATTATATGTATCGCATAAAAGAAAATTCATCGTGGCGCCACGGACAATTTCTGTAAAATCGGCGTGGCATTCAACGTGTTAACCCTTTCGCGCCGAGCGCCGTATATATACGGCATCGAAACGAAGTGTATACAGAAGACACGGATGTGTAATTTGTGGCAAAAATGATAAAAGAACGGATTCGCGGTATGAGTGCAAAGATTGCGATGTTGGCCTTCGTATAGATCCTTGCTTTCAACTATATCACACAGAATGATATTATTAGTTTTTACACATTATTATCTTTTAATAATTTTCGTCTCGTTATTAATTATATTAGACATTTAATCGTTAGGCTTTGTAATTATATAAATACCTATGTTACCTATAATTTTGTAAGTCTTTTTCAATTAAAAATGTAAATATACTTGTTACATTGGAGCAACGATTGTTTTATTCGGCACAGTTATTATTTAAGACTTGGAACAATATATATACAGAAACCACGCGCACTGTACATATTTATGGAGCTAGTTTCCATTCAGTGACGGCACTTCGGCGGATGGAGCTGCCGTAGCGAAAGGGTTAACGAATGACAAACGTATGGCATTCGCGTTCTTCAACAGTCGAATATGACACTCATTTTTGATGTTCGTATTCAGGAAAAGTGGCGTGCTTTCGTAATCATTATAGTCAACAGTTATTCTCTTTTATTCTTTTTTGCACGAAGGATCAAGGCTTGTCTTCTATAAAAAAAAAATGTTTCATACGTTATCAATGAAAGGATGCCGTTTAAATTTCGTGCGCATGTAATGCTCCATATAAAAATTATGAAATGAAACATTGTGCAGATAGAAATGGAGAACGTGAAACTGTTAAGAGTGATTACAGTTTCCAATTGTGGAACAAACGAAGCGGTATTATTTTCATCAACGAATGTAAACATAGGTTAATTTAAGAAAGTTGAATACAGTATCCATTTTTCAATGTTCACAATCCGGAACATTGGCGAGCTTCCATGATCATTATAATCAACAATTAAATCCCTCCTATCGTTCATTTTTGTGCAAAGGCTCGCCGTGTTAAAAAAAAAATGTTTCGAACGTTATTAATGAAAGGTTGTTATTTAAATGTTGTGCACGCGTAACTCCGTATAAAAGTTATGAAATGAAAATTTTGCAGACAGGAAATGAACAGCAGAAAAATGTTAAAAATGATCACAGTTTCCCATTTTGTAACAGATGCAGCATATTGGCGTCATGCAAACTGAAAGGAAACGAGAAAATTGTTTGGAACTTTTTGATCATTTGTTTGATGATGCGTGTCGGGTTAATATAATCGCGAAAAATTGAAACGCGTTTCAATCAGAGAAGAATTCTCTTGTATATTGCAATTTTTGCGTGTCTCTGTCGAAACACGCGAAAATTGGTTTCCGCCTCATCTAGTCGACAATCAAGTTTCGTCTATGAAATCAATATAAGTTCCGGCAGAGCTACAGCGTAAAATATAGCAAATTTTATTTTCGCTAATTTAATCGAGCAACTATTCTTGTTTCGCGCAGTTTCATTATTGTATCGACAGATAATAAGTGTCGTCGAATGAAAGTAAACGGGCATTTAACTAGCTTGAAAAATCGTGAAAATTTTGATTGGAACGGGTAACCTGAAAATCAGTGATGTAATAAGGTTTCTACGAATTTCCATGCCGCGCGCGACGCGCAGCTATCGTCGAATTTATCAAATCGATTTCATTATTTCTGCCGAATTTCCATTCAAAGCTAATTAACAGCCGCATTATCAATGTCTCGCGCACTTATACGAATCCGTAACGATTATGCATTTCTAACACGCACTCGTTCCATTTTATTGCGCGTTGATAATCATTAGCCCGAATTAATTGTAGTTGCGGCGGTACATTACAGAATTATAATTACGACACGCCACGGTTCCCATTACCCGTCTATGTGGAGTACATCACACGCAATTAAAACGGCTCGGATAGGAATATCCTAATTAACGGAGTCAGTGATACTTGAAAATGATTCTTGTTTCATGCAGCGACTCTTGTGGTTGATAGTCGCTTTTCAGGTAATTAGAATAGTAGCTTGGTGCATCTTGCCACGACAAAGTCATTAACGTTCGACAATATCATTAGCAACGGATGCTGAACAAGTCTATCTCATCGACGCAACATTGTTTCGAGAGCTTCGTGCGCTGAAAGCAATCACTAAACGTCCTTCGTCATTTTGTTGCAATCATGAAAACCGACGAAAAATGTAAAAATAAATAACAAATTTATTGAATCTGTCCTAAAATAAAAGGAAACACCTGACGACCATATGAACAACGAAAAAAACCAAAACAAATAACCGGACAGGACAAATTGCTTTTTAATGGAATTCAACCCTGACCTGGCATTTATTTAATTGCTATGCGAATATTTCCTATTGGACAGAGGAGAAGAGAGAAGGACCTAAATTAACCTATATAACTTTGTAAAAACGAGATGCAAGTAAAAGCAAGGACCAGCTTTCTGGTAAAATTGTAACAAATGCTGTGCACGGCTAGAAAAATATCGAGAAATAACGCCGATTTCGCGCGTCGAGTATCGCGCGAATTTTACGCACTCCACGCAAGTATTGCCCATTTAATAAACCAAATAACGGGCTAACAATTTTTTCATTTACGATTATTGATATTATGAAGACATATTTGCGCGGGAATTTATTGGAGAAATTTCTTGCGATCAAATATTACTATAAAAATTGCTCTTTTATTGTTATGAATTGTTTACTTGTCAAATTTATTGCTTTCTGAACAACTTTATTGTTAAGATAATTTCGAGTTAAATCAATCCATGATAACTATATGATATTTTTACTTGCAATTTTTACATTTTCAGCATGTATAGATTACATTTTCAGCCATAAATCAACATTTTCGAAAATCTGACTTACGCCACTCTGTTTCTAGCCCGCTCAATTATCAGTAGACTGC